GTATCGAAAAATGCACTTTCTCATATATCAATTGCTTTCAGAATTTTACATGATTTTTACTCCAAAAAACAAATTAACACCATTCAGCTGGCTCCTTAAAGTAACTTGATAACTATATGCTTAATTATATATTAAACTTCTCATGCGTTAGAAGTAACAGTCGTGAATATTTCTGTGAGTTCTAAGTTTGCAATTGTATTTGCTAAGGAATAATAGGATATAAAAAGAAGGCAAGTCATCCACTATTCATCGTTGACCAGTTGAGCTGCACATCGTTGCAGTGCCTCTAATCAATTCTGTATTTATGCTTGGATTATGAATTTTGTACATGATGGGACATCCGTGGCAGAGGTGATAGAGTATTGAACAATTGCTGCGCTTGTACGGTATTCGAATTCACTATATAGATTTGGAGAGCTGGTTAGCAAATCGGAATGTCCCGCTTACTGTATCCTTGTTAGCAGTCCCTGCTAGTACATTGTTAAAGTCACTGTAGTCAACACCAATAACAGGCGGTTGAGGTCATTACCATCACTTGCATTACTGAGCGTTACTTAGCCCTCGGAAACTTTGAAGCAGACCCACTGACTTCACGTTCCTACAAGATAATTTTTAAAAAAGTTGGTTAGCAAATCGGAATTTCATGCTTACTGTATTCATGTTGACAGTGCCTGCTAGTACTAGCCAAACGAAGTATTTATTATGCTAATTTCTGATGCCGTTTATGCCATTGTTTGCACATATTGCAATGGAGTCCTAACGACAGTCATAATTAGCCGTTCTATCTTTGAAGGTAATCATTGAAGTGAAAAAAATAATATGTTCATCGTCTTTTCACTATCAAGAATACGTATCATCTTTGAGCAGACTTTGCATAGAAAATGGCTTTAAAAAATGAACAAGTTGTCTTTTCCATATATTGTTGTTGAGTTAAAGCTCACAAAAACACATTGTTCTCTTCAAAAGCTCGTGACATAATTTGGATTTGGTCCACTAGGATTGTGTTTTGAAAAATTGGGAAGCTCAAAGTCATTACGCAATTAGTACTTGAAATCACTTTTACTCTATTCTATAGCTCTTCACAACAGAATGCATAAATACTCAAAAGTTAATCTATTCTATGTTAACTTT